TACTGTGCTGCCGCTTGGGGCAACCCCCAGACAGCTGGAAGGGGCTGGGAGGGGTTGGAGACCTCCCCACAGCTGGCCCTGGGACTGCTGGCCCCAAGACTCCCCTGGGCTAAGCCAAATCTCTGCAACAATGGACCAGCCACTCAGGATTCACCCTGTGCCTGCACCTGGGCCAGACAGTGCCTGCCCCTCCCCCTGGCACTGTCCACCAGGCACGGGGTCTGCTGGCACCGCTGCCATGCAGTGCACAGACCATGACACCTGTTCCTTGTCCTGCTCTCCGCCTGCATGAACCGCCTCAAACTGCAGCTGCTCCCTGCTCCCAGCTCAGGCTGCTGGACCGGTGCTCCTTGCTCTGCCCACTCCCAGTGCATGCAGAGCTACCCCAAGTGCTCTGAGCCTGCAGGATGCAGCCAGTGCGCCTTGGACTGCACTGTCTCACCTGCTTTGCTTGTTTCTCCTGCCTTGCTCCTCGTGGTGGCAGTTGGGTACCAGGTGAGGCTGAGCAGCCCCCTGGAGATAGTGGAGGACTTGCTCGGCATGCATGACTGTCAGGGAGCGATAGCTCTTGGCCTGGAAGAGTGAATGAGGAAGGCCTTGCCCCTGCAGTTCAGCCCCACACCCTCTCATGAGTGAATGAGCTTGTTTTTAAAGGAAAGCTCTGCCTTTATAGGGAAATAAACTGAGTTTTTTACTATTGTCATTTGGGTTTGAGTGCTGGATGGGGTGTCATGCACAAGTGTGCAAGGTACTGTGTCTCTGCTGCAGTGCCTGTGGTGAGGGCCTGGGCTGTGCCCTGAGATGATGGAACCTGCAGCTGCCCTGGAGCTCCCATGTCTTCCTCGGCTGCTGGCCCTGAGGGAGCTGTTCCCCCTATGCTGAGGGCTGCTGGGGCCCAGGGTGGCCCTTGTTATCTGGTGGGGGGAGGGGTAGCTGGTCCAGGCTGTGCTGGACTGGTATGGCTTGAGCACTTGTGAACATCATCTGCACCGATGGGAGCTGACAGCTGACCATGCTGAGGCCAGGGAGGACACAAGCCCCCTGTGTGGCAGTGGTTCTCAACCTCTCCCTGTGTGCCTGCTCTGCTCTGGGGTGCCTATGCCCTGCTGCACACCTGGCTGTGGTCTGGAGACATGGGTAAGCCATGCACTTGATTTCCTTCCCCAGATAAGAGCAGGGGAGGCTGCAGCCAGCAGGATGTCTGGTTTCTCCAGCAAGTAACAGTTTGCAGCTGCTTTCTGGCTGAGGACCTTGCTGCTGGGTTCCTGTCATATTGCAGCACATCTCCCCTTCTAAGGCTGGTGACACTGACAGCCCCAGCTGAGCAGTACTGGCTGTGTGCAGCCTGAGATGGCAGAGCCAGTCTCCCAGCAAGTGCTGCAGGCAAGTGCTGTGGGGAAGGCTTATGCTCTGGGGAGGCTTGGGTCCCTGCAGGTTAGCCAACAGCTGTGCGCTTTCTCACTTGCGCTTTTGCACATTGAGTTGTGGCCTCATGCCTTTTTTCCCACAGCTGAGGGCTCAGAGCAAGCTGTAGATGTTATTGGTGGTGTTTGTTAGGGAGAGCAGGTCATTGTTAGAGCCTCAGCTTCCAGCACTGAGGGATGGCTGACCTGTTGGTGCTGTGGGTTTAACAGCTCTTGATGTGCTGAACCAGGATGCTTGGCATCCATGCTCTCCTGTAGCTGAGTACTGTAGGTAGTACTGAGGGGTGGACAGTGCTACAGCTAATGCTGGCACGTGCTGATTGCTTCACTCACCCTTTGCTCTTGTCCTGTGAATAACTGTTTGCCATCTCCTGCCACTGGGGAGGGCAGTGGGCTCTATCCTGCTGCCTGGTAACTGTGAGATCTCCAGACAAGTGCTCTAAGCAGCTTAACAGCCTCTCTCCCCGGGACTCACGGTTGCTGCAGTGTGCTCTTTGCTGAGTATGCTGAACACTGCAGCCCTGTATGGCTTCTTGCAGGACTTCATGGGTGCCAGTTCTGCTGTTATTCCTGGCTTTAACCAGCGGTTGCTGCAGAGTGAACTGTTTCCCTGCCCTCCCACACCCCATCTCAGCCTTATGTGTGTGAGCCTTTGCCAAGTGTGTTCTATTTTTAGCAATATACAAGCTAGCAATGGGTTCACCATCACCCACACGTGCTAATACTGTCCAACATCTCTTAAATTGGTGTGCTAGAATTGCTCTGCATGAACTACACAGCCCTTTTTTTGTACCACTGTGGTGTTGGTGCTGCAGGGCAGGTGGGGGTATGTATCTGTATGCATGTGCATGTCCTGCTCTGCCCTGGCACTGTGTTGGGCATTTGCACTGTCCTGTGCTGGTGCTGCCAACCTCATTTGCAGGGTGTGCACTTGTACGTGCATCAGAAAATACCTTTGTCCAACACTGCTGCTGCCTTTTCTGTGCAGCCCTCATCTCTGCAGTTCCCTGCCTTCCTGCACTGCCATGGTCTGAGAAAGGAGTGGTAGCTGGGGTTTGGGCTTTTTTTTTTTGGGGGGGGGGGGGGGGGGTGTCTTTTTTGCATCAACACCACACCCTGATTTTACATTTAGTGTGACCGACTTTTGTGCTCCTTTTTTATTTGGCCACAACCACTGCATTTTTACGTACTTTTTTTTTTTTTGGTGCCTCCCCCAGCTCCTCAAATCTGCTGCACAGTCATGCTCCTTTGTTTCTTTGTGTCTGTCTCTGGTCTGGTTAAAGAACTCATGACAGTAGGCATGTGTCTGCTCTGAGCCTCCAGCACCTCTGAACATTTTACAGGGCACCAGAACTTTTAAAAACCTCTTGTATTTCCCTGACAGCCCTATTTCTTTTAATGTACCTCCCTAAAAAACAAGTTAGCTGGCAAAACAAAAGTGGTTTGTTTCTCTGGAGCTATGGCCATGCTCCCTGCAGCCCAAGTTACAGCACAGCAGCACTTGCACCCCACCACCACGGTGCTCAGGTACCTCCCTCTCCTCACCTGACCAGGGAGCACCACAGCCCCCTGCAGCCAGCAGCCTGCTGGGATCTGGCTTCAGCCTCCTTCATGGTGCTGCTGCCAGGGTGTCTGCTCTCTGCAGCCCGTTTCATTTGTGCAGAGAAAGCAGCTGTGATGCCATCCTCAGTGGGACAGTGTAACTGCAACTTGTCCAGCAGCATGACATAGCCCAGCATGCAGCACTGGCAGTCCCTCAGAGGCCAGAGAGGTGTGCAAGATGACCTTAGAGGACCTGCAGCTCTTGCACAGCATGCAAGAACAGGTGTCCTAAAGGCTACACACACATGTTCAAGAAGTGTTGGTACATGTACGCATGCACACACACAGACACAGACCTGCAACTTTGCAGGACAATGCTGCCTTTGAGCCAGGATGCTTTTATTGAAAAGACCCTGCCACAGGGAGTCACTTATCCCGTCCTTCCCCACCTAGTCCTGCAGCAGGAGCTGAGCAGCACCTGGAAGGAAGAGTCCTGAAAGTGCTTTACTGGGAGGTTTATTCCTGGAAGACGCTGGATCCTGTGATGCTTGAGTCCAGGGCTGCAGAGCCAGCACCCCAGCTCAGTGACAGGCCACAGAGCAGAGCACGGAGGGAAAGCAGCAGCCAGGGCACCAGCTGCTATCTCTGCAGCAGAGAGCCTCCTCACATCACCCTGATCCCTCCTACTACCGGCAAGAGAGCATGTCTGGGCCTGGCCTCAGCCTCAGGTGCAGGGCAGTGCAGATACCCAGTGACAGACTTCTGCCTGCAGGCTCTCAAGAGCAAACAAGCACAGTCCAGACATCTCCACTTCACCAGCCCCAGGGTGGTCGATGGTTCATGTTGTCTTCACATGAGCAGGCAGACTGAGCACATGACAGCAAGCCAGTGGTCCACCACCTCTGGGCATTCAGGGCCAGCCCTTTCCAACAGGTCTGTCACATCAGCCAACCTGGTGCAGGCCACGGGACCAGCCAGGAGCGGGAGCATCAGCAATGACCATACCTCCACAAGACAGAAGGAGCCAGAACAGGATGTGACACTGTTGAAGCTAGGGTTGTCCCCAGAGCGGTGATGAACTCTGCAGCGCACATCCTGCCGAGCCTGCTGAGACCTTGCTGGGCCTCACCACACTATCTCCTCCAGGCAGCACAGGCACCGCACTGCTCACAGGGTGCTCAGCAGCTCCCCCACAAACAGCTTGAATGTGTCAGGACTCAGCTCTACTAGGGAAATGGCAAAGCCACAGCCATGCCCTGGCACTGCCTGCTCCCATAGCTCCGTGGGGCTCACACTGCCCCACAGAACTGCTCCTGCCAGCACTCCCTGTCCTGGCTGCATGCTCTGCAGGCTGGCTGGGCACTGTGGCAGCACTAGCTCATTTGTGTCTTTGTCCCCTGCAGCAGGGAGAGGCCTTGAAGCCCCTGCATGGCAACAATGGGGTGCAGCGGAGCCCTGTTCTCCAGCAGGGATCCACTCTTCAGCTGTGCTTGCCGGGCCCAGCCCACAGACAAACCCTCCTGCCACCTGGCTACGACTTCCCTGGCAGCACTGGGGCGAATGCCTGCACTGCCCCATCCCCAGTCTTGGGGCCAAAAGGGAGCAGCTCCTGCCCTCCACAGGCAGCCCTCCGAGCCCAGACACCGCAGCTGAGAGCAAGGTCTGCTCCAGGCCAAGCCAGTGCACAGGGATGTTGCCTCCCCTCAAGCCAGCGCACCAGCCCCTCTGCTCCCCTAGGCTTGCTCCCCTGGGCTGGTGGTGCGGCCCCCCCACCCTTTCTCAGCTCCATGCTCCACAATGGCAGGGGAGCGGGGCCAGGCATGCGGGATGGGCAGGGCCGCGCACTGCATGCACGGCTGGGAGCCGGCTCTATGCACATCCCCGGACAGGCGCCCTCGGGAAAGCGTAAGTTCTGATACGCGGATCTTCGCATGCAGAGTTCCAGGCTGGGCGCCTGGTGCTGCCTCTTCTTCCAAGGCCTGCTTTGGCTCTGGCAGGATGCCCAGGACCCCAGATGCAGAGCTGGTGCTGCACTTACACCTCGATTATATTGACTGAGGGAGACTTCTTCTATGAGAGAAAAATCTGCTTTAAGGCCCTGCTTTGCTAAGCCCCTGGGATGCAGACCCTACGGCAGAGCCCCCAACCTCCCAGGCAGGCACTAAGACCAGCAAACCTCTGCTAAAGGGCTCCCAGGTGCAGCTGAGCCCTCTACCCTGAGCTGAGGTGTGGGTGAGCTGCAGCAGAGACCTGGCTTCAGCATCCCCCTCAGGAGACCAAGGAAGCTAACCCTGAAACCTCAGCCTTTTGCACTGACGTGCTCTCCTGGCAGAAAGGTTCAGGTAGCTCAGCTGCATTGCCTGGTGCCTCCCTCCAGGTCAGTCCCTTCAACTGCACACTTGCCTCCCCAGGAAGCCTTTCTGCCCACTGTGGTGCCCCAGTACTCCTGGGTGAACCAGCCCCCCTGCCCCACATTCTTCAGCCTCCAGGGCTTGCAGGTATCTGGTGGCTTCTGTCTGGTCCCTAGTGGTAGCCACGCTGCACCTGATGTCCTTGGACAGGAGGTAGGTGCAGGGTCAGAGCAGAAAAGGTAAGTGAGGGGGTAGGAGGACATCTGCCATGGGGTAGAGAATCCACAAAGCATGAGATGACCAGCATGGAGGAACAGATAAGGCCTGCTGAGGGCCAAGCATGTCTCACTGCCATACCCCTCATGACAGCTCTGGCATATGCCAAGGGAACTAAAGGCTGCAGGTGCGAGGTGGATTTTCTCAAAAACTGTTGCAAGCACTAGCAGGCACTTTCCCTTACATTAAAAGGAATATGCTCATTGAAGAGCACAGCGGATATGTGAATTCAAAGAAGGTGCTGGGAAGGGAAGGGGTCCTGGTTGCTGCACATGTGTTTCATAGCTCAGCCCTTGCACACTGAAGCAGGGTGCAGGAGGCGAGTGTCCCCAAGACCACGCTTTATAACAGGGCCCAGATCAAGAGCTGCACTGTTTGCTGCTTTACAGCAGCTTGGCCCTGAAGCCAGTAGGCAAAGTGAATGCAAAGCTTTTTCTATACCTTGTTCCCAGCTTTGTAATTAATGACTGCAAGAATAAACTTGCAGTGTTGTCACCTGCAAGGATGCTAAGAGTATGGCGAATGCAAAAAGACAAACTCAGGTGCATCAGCCCCGTAAAGGTGAACTTCGCAAGCAGCAGCAGGAACAGGCCTTTGCACTTGCCTTTTCAGCCCTATATGAGCAGGGTCAGTTTGGAGCAGGGATCTTTTTTGGCAAGGAGTAGTCAGGAAGCGGGAAAATCTGGAGGATGAGAACTGGGGCCTTGAAGTCCAAACAGGAAGTTTCTGCTTCCAACATCCACTGGAAACCAAGATGTGTAAGCAGAGGGGCAGTTAGGCAACAGTGAGCAGAGTTCCCACTGATAGAGGAGGCAGATGAGACACAAGGGAAAACCTAATGCAAGGTCCCATTAAAGCATTATATATAAAGGATTATAAATTACTGTCTTTGTCAAGTAACAAAGGGAGAAGTGTCAGGTGCTGAGAGAACAGCCAGATGAAAGTACTGCTCCCTCCCCATCCATAGCCTGGCACAGTACCTCCATGAGAGTTGGGAAGGGGCTCTGGGGTGCTTCCCATGAACAACTTGTGTGTTGATGGCCTGGAGCAGGCCCCAGTGAAGGCAGAAAGTGAGCAGCGATAGACCAGTGCAGGAACCATAAGAACAGCTGCCCAGCTTGTCTGCCTCCTGCCTGAACCTGTCTATGGGATGCTGAAGAGGTGCAGCCTTGGAGGGGCATGGTGAAGGGGCTGTTACAGTGAGAGGACACGTACCGCCCTGCTGTGTGGGAGCCATCCCAGCTGATATATCCTGCCACCTCTTCCAGTGTTTCTCCTGCAATCACCCACGGGGCACATACACATACACTACCCCAGAGAGACCAGGGCTCACTGCACCGTAAAAACCCTCCTCAGTTTTTAGGGTGAGAGCACGAGCTGGGGTGTTTCCGTTTCTGGAGAGAGCCAGAACCTATCCAGGCAGCAAGCCACAGCAGACATCATATGCCATCCCTCCTGCCAGCCCTCCCCACTCACCTTGCTCCGCAGCAGCCCTCCACTCGGTCGCTCTGGTGTGCTATGCTCCGAGGATGGCTTTGTCTTTTCCTTGTTGTTGTTGGAGTCATTGTCCTTGATGATGTCATACTGTCTGCAGAAGAGGGCGATCACCGCTGCCGAAAGACGGGGGATGAAGGACTCCCTCACACTGGCTGCCCCCTGCCTCCCCTCCCCACAGCATCCCAGCTGGAGAGCAGTGCTGGTCACCCACACCCTCCATCTGTGTCAGCCTGGACCACCCCAGGCACCTCTGCATGTGTGGTCAGGCCAGTTTCCATGGGCAGACGAGACACGGATGCAGCTAAAGCCAGCAGGGCACACATGAGGTGCTCAGGGCTGTGAAGCCAAAGGCAGATGTTGAGGCACTTGGAGAGGGACAGCACTTGAGGTCAGTGAGCAGCTGAGTGCCTCCAGCAAGGCACTAAAGTTGTTTGTCCAGTGCTTGCGACCCTCATAAAAGCCAGCCCTTGGCTTTGTCCTGTCTTGCAAACTGACTGTGGGGTCAGTCACTCTGTCATGGTTTTACAGTACCCATCTCACACAGCACACGCCCCACACCTTGGGACACTGGACTCTGGAGCAATGCTTTGAACTGTAATCATTAGATGTCTTGGACCCATTCAAACCACAGTGCATTATCACAGCCACCCACAGACTGGACCTGATTTCTCCCTGTTGGCACTCTGACACACCAACCTGCACGAGGTGTAAGCTATCAGCAGGCATCTTGTATTTTCTTCCAGTGCACTAGAAAAGTGTTCAGGGCTAAGACAAGGAGAGATTCCTGCAAGATGCCACTAGAAAATCCACATTTATTGGGAAGGGAGTAGGGGACAAATGACTTCCCATTCACAGCAGCTGCATGTGACCAGTCAGGAGCTGACTTACCGCTCAGGCTTCCTTGCTCCCAGGGCTATGTGCTGTTTGCTAAAGCACTGGCTTTAATCAGCTGCTGTAGAGGAGCAAATCACCCATCTTACAGTTTTAGCTGATTGAGGCACAGCCACTACCAGCCAGTGCAGCAATGTTACCAGATGTCAGACAAGCTAGCTAAGGCCCAAGTTACATGATAGTTAATGTCAGCTGCGATGCTCCCACCCTGTATTGCTTGGGTCCCACATTGTCTCCTGCTCTTCCAGCACAGCAGTCAGGCTACCCAGCCCACATGCTCCAGGCCATCACTGCTAAGCAGTGGCTGTGGTTGCTCCTTTTACCGCACTGGCTTGAGCTCCTACAGAGACTCAATGAACTTACTGGAAAGGATGCCAGACCCATACCAATATGCCTCTGCACTCTCTTTAGCCCCATCGTCTTTGTGGGCCCTGGATTGCATCTCTGCCCCAGCCTGCCAGAATGTTGCTTGTGGCACTCACCTGCCCACATGAGCAGCACAGCCACAATGATGATAATCTCGCCTGTCTGCAGCTGCCTGTCTTTGTCCAGCCCTTCCATGGTGATGTCACCTGCAGAGAAGAGAACCCAGGCAGGGCTGGCAGCAGATACCCTCCTACCAGAACCTACTTCAGGACCAGCAACGCTCAAAGATCTGAAAAGGAGCTCCAGAGGAGAGAGGCCCACCTCCCCCAAACAAGGACAGGTTTGGGATGACATCTTGGCTGGGGAGAGGACATGCAGCCTGTGGCTTTCCTGTGTCAGATAAACCATCCTTGCTTCCAAGGGCAGTCAGGGATTCTAACAGCTTGTTTGGGTTCAAGTAGGGACTGCACAATGCATGGGAGTAATCCCTGAGCTTACTCCCTATGTAGGGACCAGGGCAGGTTAGGAAAGCCCTGAGTTGAACACAAAAGTTCTGAGGAAAGTAAGCCATCTGCTTGCCCTGTTATACTCTTCTCAAGTCCCCCTCATGGCTAGCTCTGGAGACAGACCCCTGTGCCCAGTGGACCCCCTCTGGGCATCACCTCTCTTGGATTCCTGGATCATGTCTCATGGACCAGCATGTAGGCAACCCCAAAGAAAGAAGGCACAACATGGATCTGAGTAGGAGAGGAGACTGTGGGGCTCCATCATTTGTCCTTTGGTACCTTGCAGGCTGGGACATCTGAGAGCCCATTCAATATTTGCTTCCTATGGGCAGCAGCTGAGCAGACCACAGCAGTTGCCCTGGCCACAGCCTGCTTAGCTGAATAGGGTGCCAAGACCGGGTACAGGAGGGCTGTAAACCAGGACATGGGGACATTATCATGGCCGTAGTGGACACAACAGCAGCCTGTACAACCCCGCTACCCATTATGACCCCATGTGTCCCAAGCAGCCTGCTGCTCAGGGCAGCACCTTCCTCACTGGCTGCTGGATTCCTGCCCGTGTGCTGTGGAGACCTCCAGGTATGGCCCCACCAGCAGCACCTGGGCGAGCTGGAAGGAGCTGCCTCACCTTGGTTGGAGCTGTTGGAAGGGAGGCGGTCAGTCTCCTTCAGGGTCCGGAAGTGGACACGCTTACTGGCCTGGCTTTCTCCATACAGGCCGATGCTCTGCACCTGGATGATGTAATCAGCATCCTCTGCCAAGTCCCACAGCACGCAGGCCCGGTTGGTGGTGTTTACCTCCCGGATGAAGCGCTGCATCTGTCCATCTTGCCGCTGCCAGAGTGAAGAGCTGTCATCCCCAGGAGGCTGTTCCCAGCTGCACCAGCCACAGGCCCCTGCCTGCAGGGCTGTGCTGCGCACACTACCCCTCACTCCTCCCTTCCCGGGCAATCATCCACCCCTGGGGTGGGCCAGGCTGGCCAGCACTTTGCTATGCAGCATCCCTAGGTGGCCTGAGAGCCAGGCGCCTCCCTGGAGAAGCCACCATCATCTGGGGCTGTGGAGGCAGAGCAAGGCAAGCAAAGAAGGGTCATGTCATGGCTGAAGCACCATCCTTATCCAGAGAAATCACAGGCAAGCCACTGGAGGGACAGCTACCCCCAGTGCAGCCCACGGTCTGCTACTTCCCATCAGGATGGATGGCTCGGACAGGGTGCCCTGGCAAGGGCTGCTCAACAGCAGAGGTGTCCTCAGGCAGGTGCCAGAGGAGCTCCACACTGCGGCAAAAGGGCTGACACAGGAGCATGCTGGTTATCAGTGAGAGGGGTCCCCAGCCCCCTGGGGACAGAGCCTGGATACCTGCTGTAAGATGGCATAGCCGATGACCACGTCTCCTTCTGGGACGTCCCAGGAGACTGTGGCAGAGTTTGCCTTCAGCTGCGTCACAGTCACGTTGACAGGGGATGGTGGCCTGTCTGGGTGAGCCAGGAATGGACCGGGGCAAAGCACAGGAAAGAGGCAAAAGAAGATGTCTCAGAACAGGCACTCACCCCTGCACACCACCATGGGGGGCCTCTCCAACATCTGCCCATGGCAGCACATTGGCCAGGGCTACAGGGAGCACCTTCTCAGGTGAATCTGTCCCCAGGAGAGGAGTGGCACAGCATGCACAAGGCTGAGGCCCTGCCAGCAGTAACACAGGCACGCATGGTGCTTCCTGGGCTAGTGGGCAGCTGCCTGCTGTGGGGGGGGCGGGGGGCAGGGGTAGGTATGCAGGCACAGAGCTACTCCCTGCCTGTGCAGCTACCCCTCTGTGGCACCCACTGGCTTTAGCAGTCTTCGCTCACTGGCCAGGACTCCTCCCTGCCTGGCTGTTGGTGAGAAATGTGCTCACTGCACACCTCACCTTCTGCAGTGTCCTACAGCAGGGAAGGAGGACAAGCTCGTGAGGCATCTGACTGGCTCTTCTCTAAAGGGCTTGCTTGCAGCGGCAGACATAGCCCATTGCTCATAATACATGTGCCACATAAAAGGGATTAGCAATGCTGACCATGTGCCCAGGCTGCCAGACGCAGCTAAAGACATGAAGGGCCCCCAGTAGGCTCCTTCCGCCTTGCAGACATCGAAATGGGAAATACATGAAGGCCCATCTTGAGCAAAAAAGAATTAGAGTTTAAGAGACTGTCATGGCAATTTAACCAGTCCCTGCAGCTCAAAATCACATGAAAAGAAAAGTCTTTGCAGCCTGTCTCAGAGCACTGCAGAGACACTGCTATCAGAGAAGAGAATGACATTCACATCAGTTCTTCATGAGGGCAGCTGCTTGCAGATCAGAGGTACCTTCACTGCTGCTCAGATGTTCATCTGTTGGAAAGTTTAGTTCATTCAGCTCTAGCACTAGCAGAAGCAGGGCTGCCTGGCATGACACACTCCTGCTCAGCCTGGGCACAGAGTATATTCTTGGCAGGGAAGTCCCATGTTTCTGTAGGGTCCAGAAAGTCCTAACAAGTCCTACATTAATGCAATTCTTCAACCAAGACTGTGATGGTAGAATCAGGCTCCTCTAAGCTCTGGGGCTGCCCTGTGGATGTGCATATCACGAATGCCTGGCACACCACCCAGAACTGTGTAGGAAGCAGCCCAGACACAGTATTTATATATCAACTGTGACAGAAAAATGGGGCAGCTTGGAATAAACACACTATGCAACTCAATCTGGCCAACTCATCTGCCTGGCATTACTCCCCGCTCTAGAGTGGGGAGGAAAACCCAATGCAGAAGGCAGAGCTGACTTGCCCAGCAATGCAATGCCATCAGCTGCAAAGCTGGCAGCAACACTCAGCTGTTGCTATCATTTAGAAAGCTGGCCTGATTGACCCATGGTCCGCACCATCGCTATTTTGAGATTTCACAGCACTAAAAGTGTGGCAGGATCCTATACAGGTACACAGACCTGCATACAAAGCCAAATTTTGTCTGGAAATTAGACACAGGAGCGCATGAAGAAAGACACTGAGGCTGCTGTTTGTGTGTCCTCTCTCCCTGTAAACAAGACACTGTCCTTCTACAAGCTGCTTGTGTAGCACAAGTTCAATGCTGTGATTTATATAGATAGAAAAAGAGCCCCAGAGCGCACCTGAGAGCAAGAAAAAAAGTCAACCATAACACCACCACCAACCACCATTAGAGTGACAAGGAAAGGTAATTTCTGCAGGTCAGCTATTTAAATGCATTCGTTCACATTTGAATATACCCAGCTCCAGATCAAACCAGGAAAAGGCTGTGATTCCCACTCTGAGAAATGCAGGGTTGTGGTCTGCCACAGGCAATTAAGACAGACAGAAGGGTCACCCACAGAGACCAGAAAACACTTTTTCAGAGAGACACTGGGGCTGAGTGAGTCCCCAACACAAGCCTGCCACATCACCAGGAGATAGTGTCATTGGAGACAACACGAACAAGGACATCACAGGATGCTGCGCCTTCTCTTTCAGAACAGGAGGCTGGAAGACTGGAAAGGGTTCAAAGATACAATCAAACATCCTTTATCCCATGAAGAGTGTGTCTCCTTAGAGTTTCACCAGTGGGAAACTGGTTCATCACTCTAACCTGTGAGAGGGATGCTCTGAGCCATGTCCTCATCTGCACACCGTTGTCTCCCACAGGCCAACAGCAAAACAGGCTATTCTGAATAAAGCTGCAGTCCCCAGACCTGGCCACTGACTTGGGCATGTGTATTCTGTGAGCACAGGAGCTGAGCTCCCCACAGATGTCTGGTTTTCGGCTCCAGGCTCAGCCAGCGTGCAACTTAGCACACTAACTTAGCACAACTAACAGCTGAGCTGTAGACGGCACCCTGTCAGCTAGCAAATAACTGCTCCCTTGCACTGTTCCAGGCAGAAGCATTTCGAAGTGGGGGGTGGGAGACTGCAATGTTTCTGCTAGCCTTCAGGTGTAAGAAGAACAGTTGTCCAAGGCTACCACGATGTAGCCTTGTAGCAATGTAACGAGGTCAGGAACAGCCCAGGGATCTAGTGTTGGAGACTGGTCCCAGGAACTGTTTTGGTCTGAACCAGCCAGCATGGGCCCAAACCACTCTTGGGCATGGCTCAAGACTTAGCACTGATGTGTTCGTCTCTTTGGAACTCATGAACTTAGTGCTATGGATGTGACCAGAGCCTGCCAGCTGGCCTCAGGACAAGAACAGGACCTCGTGCTTCACAGGATACATATACAGTGATAAATTAGGTAGCTTTTTACATCTAACAAAATGTGATGAGGTCTGAACATGCCCAAAGGGGGCAGCTGGACTACCCAACCTTTAAGGGTGTGTGAGGAAATTAAAGGCAGGGTCTGACATCCCTGCGACACAAAAGTCTGTGGATGGAGCTTGTAGCAGGCTCCCTGCTCTGCACAAGATTTTTTTAGACTTCTGCGGGGAACCCAGCCCAAGCTTTTGGGCTGGGGATGCTGAGACATGGCCCTGGGGCTGAGTCACTCTATGATTTGAGAACAAGGGCACTACACTGATCCACAAGCCATGCTGCTGGGTCTGCATGGGCCTGACAGTATTGCTTGAACTGTACTTAGCCAGAGCTCGCAAAGGCCCTGTGTAGGGACCTTCATTTACTGGCAGCAGAATGGCATCCCAGGGGGGATATCACCCTGGTATCATACTGCAAAGACAGTACACAAAGCCAACGTGATCTGCTATTACACCCAGAGCCAATCCCCAAATGTCCCAAATGGAGAGAGGGGAGGGTGAGAGGACCTGGGGGCATGGCGGAGCCACAGTGCACATGGCTAGTCAGTGCTTCAGACCTCATGCATTGTAAACATACTTTGTACAGGCTCCAGGCAAGCAGACCTGAAGCTGTGTGACAGTGAGAAGGTGTCCAGGCTGCAGTTCTTCACTGGAAAAATTAGTGTCCCTTGGTCAGTCTGCAGTTCAGCAAACTGCAGAAAAGACACCTCTGAGCATATGGGATTTGCACACCTAGCAGGAAGAGAAAGGACAGGAAGTTTCAGAAGTTGAAACTAGAGAAGTTCACCCTAGAAACACAGGGCAACGTTTAATCCCAAGGATATGCAAGATGAGACCTCACTGAAAGGTGCTATGACAAGACCTCCAAAGGACAGCTCACACCACAGAAAGCTTTGCGTATGATCCCCACATTAAGGCTGACATTCTCCAGCCTGCTCTGTAGCTGAGGTCAGAGCAGTTTCATGCCAGAGCTGTTGCCATAAAGATCTGTGAGTGCAAGGGCTCCAAAAAATGTACTCTCTGAAGCCAACTATTAAAAACATTCCTGTAAAGCCAAGATGCTCCAACACCCTGCTGGGCTCTCTGGGAAAAGCATGCCACAGTTAAGTCCTGCCCAATGCATCAATCGCTAATGGTTCTGCATCATTTATAAGTTATCCAGCTTCACTTTTGATTAAAGCCATATTAAGAAATGGACACCACCACAGAAAGAGCAATCACTTACTTAAGGCCTGGCGCACCCTTTTGTCCTGTCACTACAGCAGTGCGTTCCTTTCAGACCTGCTGAAGAGGTGGGAAGAGTTGGTCCTGTGTGCTGGAGCCAGCAGCACTGCAGCCTGAGGTTGAGCGGCACGGACGGCTGACCTGTAAGCAGCTGAGCACTGGACTAGATCTGCCATGCAACCTGGCTTTGTAGGTTAGAGAAGGGGCCAGACAGATGCCCTTCAAGACCGATGTTGGCAGATGTGGCGCTGCATAGGGATGGGGCACAGCCCCACTGGTGCCCTCCCCATCCTGCTATGACTCTGGAGAGGGGACCTTACCTGCCCCTCAGCCTGTGCCCTTTGGACTGCTGCTCAAGGGCACCCAGATGTTTGCCCAACTTATCCCTGCAGTAGGGAGGTAAGCATCAGGCTGCACATCTAAAAATAAGTGGCCCCTTTTTAACAACCCTGACTGCATTTCTTCCTGAATCCATCAGGCCCTGGAATGCATATTTTGCAAGGAGACTGAAAACATGGCAGAACATATCAGAACACGTCTGATACAAATCAATCTGATACATCAGTAACCTGATAAGGGGTTAATAGACAGCAGAAGGCTGCCACTGACACAGGGTCATTCAAAGGAGTCAAGGGAAGAAAGGACAGAGGTACCCTGCGTGCTGACAGACCTCGGTGTCTTGGCAAACACCAGCCCAGAGAGAGCAAGGCAGGCAGGAACGCCTGTCAGGCAGGAACCAGCTCACAGCCCAGCCTACAGCACTGGAGCATCCCTGCCCGGGGCCATTAACTCCCTCGGGACTCGCTGCTCACTGGTGAGGGGCAAGGACGGGAAACAAGGAGGCCCTGCTCCGCGGGGGCACAAGGAGATCCCGCGTTTCCCCACTGCCTCGCCCAGAAGCGGGAGGCTTCGGGAGCCAAAGCCGCAGGCGGCGACTCCAGGTGCCCCCGGGAGAGCCTGGTGCGCACGGAGGGCGGCACGGCCACACGATCGCACCCCGTCCCACGAAGGCACGGCTGGCTTGGAGGCCACGGCGCGGCCCCGGGGGGTTGCCAGGGGGCCGGAGGCGGCAGGGCTGGGCCCCACCGGATCGCGGCCAAGGCCA